AGATGCAAGTTGCGACAAATTGTTGGGACGTCGCACAAGAACGGCCATGACTGGGCCGGCCCATTTTTGTCTTTTTTGTTCTATTGTTTTTTTTCCTTTTTTGTTTCTTTTATCCAAGTTCATTCCCATTTTCAAAAAAATGTTCATAAATTCCAAACAAATTGCATCAAGCACAATTCTTTTAATTTTTCAATAGAATGTTGTTTTAAATTTTTTTGGAAACTTTAGAAATATCAAAGAAGTTTTGAATTTCAAAAACTGTTTGCTTCTTTTTAAAAAAAGTGTTCGAAAATTCACAAAATGTCCAGAAATTTACAAAATGTTCAGGAATTCATAATTTTTTAATAATTTATAAAAAGCAGAAATTTAAAAAAATGTTCATTATTTCAAAATTGTGTTCAAAATTTCAAAAAAATGTTGCCTTTTCCAAAAAAATATTATATGTTTTAAAAAATGTTCCCATTTCCAAATTTTGTTCACGTATTTAGAAATTTTTTGCGTTTTTTAAAATTTGTTGGGGGTTTAAAATTTGTTCTTGTATTCGAATTTTTTTTCTCAAAATTCAAAAAATGTTTGGATTTTCAAAAATCATGCTGTTATAGAAGAATGAAATTTCCAAACAAATCTGTGAAACTTTTCATAAAGTGTTTGGATTTATTGTTTCTAGTAGTTCTTGAACTTCAGTACTGCTCATTGTTCACGAAAATAATCAGTAGCTCAACTGGCTAGCAACATTCAAACAGGAGATGTCTCGAGTTTGATACACGTGAGAGCGTTCGTTTTTGTGTTTTTTTAAATAGCATTGTTGCCAAATGCGTCAAATAGGACGTCCTATTTTTCTCTCAGGGGTGATGGGCCGGGTCAATTTTCCACTTTGATTTTGTATGAGCGGGCAATTTTTTCCTGTTTTCCATAGTATTATATTCCCAATTCCTTTTTATCCATTTATTTTCTATTTCTATTTTTTCCTTTTTTCCCGACCTTATTTTCTCCATTTTATTTTATCTTCAGTTTTCATTTATTAAATTTTTATATTTATTTTCTTACTTTTTTCCACGTATGCTCTTTCTAGGAAATTGAATAATGATTTTATAATAAATACATGATATCTTTTACAAATATGTTTTGTAAGTAAATATATTTTCTTTCAAATAATGTTGAACATATGTCAAAACACATTCAATATTTTCAAAATACAGGCCAGACATTTTTAAATGCATTATAAATAGTTTTAATTAAAATATTTTATAAATCTATGAACGCTTTTTTAGAACCAGAATATTGTTTAGTACACGTTGAACATTTCTCAAATACATGAATACCGTTGATAAATATGTGAACACTTTATAAATAATATGAACATCTTTAAATATGTGTTGATAATTAAAAATATATATAATACATAATTTGTTTTTAGAATAAACATTAAAAAAATTAAAAATCCAAATATAACTTTTGTAATATTTCAAAAAATAGTGAGAAAAACAAAGTGAAAAAATCAAAAAAAGAAGAAGGAAAGAAACTTGCATGGCGTGCAGCAATGGCATGTATGCGAGCGCCATTCCGACCCGATCTTCAATAGGCGACGTGTGAGTGTTTGTGTTCTAGTTTGAGTGTGCGTGTGTGCTACGTTGTAATTCAACGTTTCTTAAAAAAAATCTTCACCAAAGGAAAATATCCACATAAAGTCGTATTTGTTTCATGGGTCTTACACGGCAACTTTAGGGTTGGTGTAAATAAAAACTGATTTCAATTTAAAACACTCATGGCAACGATGAGCAATTTTCACGGCAGAATATCATACATCAAAGAAACCAGCTGTGACCTGGTTATCCATGCTACCGGGTCAAGCAGATAGTAGCGTGCACTAGGCTATCTATTGCTACTGGGTAGTTCAGCCATGGTTCCACTTGCACTTGAAATTTTAAGCAAGTGAGGTTGGTGGCTCCGGGCTCCGGGGGATATCATGGCAATGTCAGATGACATGTTAGCATTGACTTGAGAACTGAACACTAGCTATCTAAGAATAAATATATCTGTGAAGTCCACAGCCGGATACAGTTAGTCCAGTGAACAATGGCTGGCTTTAGACGCTTCCTATGTCATCGGAAGACTGAATCAATCAGTTGATAGCTGTAGCAGATTAACAACTGATAAGGAGCTTTGGTTCGTTCCATTCTACACGAACGTCTCTCCCGAGTATCACTGGGCAAAGGTTTTAAACTCTGTTTTTGTCATTTCAGTAGCAAACCCTTCACTGATAGAGCTCGATTAATTTCACATAAAAATGTCATTTTTTTTCTTCTAAAGCACTGAAGTATTTTCATTCAGATATTTTTTCTGCTGTCGAAACAGCGGGAAAACTTTGGGTAAAAATCCATTTTCGGGTGACATGATGGGAAAAACATATTTTTGTGCACACGCTTGCGAAGCTGTATTAGCATAATATCTTACGTCTTACGTACTAATAAAGCACGGACTGTTTCTGGTCGTCCGTCATGCCATTTTACAAATAAACCCCTTAGTTTTCTGTAAATCAACCCGCAGTACACGTTTAAGTTACAACTGAACCGTTTTTTCATTTTCTTAGAAAAGCCCCTGATGTCTTAGACAATCAACCCGCCATCCATATTTAAGTCAGCCAAAACGTTTTTTTAGTTTTAACAGAAAACCCCTTGACGTTTTGGTTAATCAATCGACAGTTTATGTAAAATAAGATTATTCATATCTTTTAAACCGTAACTTAGATTTTAACATGTTATATATGAAATTTGATTAGAAAAATATGTAGAATCTAAATATAAGGTTATTTTTAGCTGTTAAATATTTCTAAAATATATTTTTTGGTGCAAACTTAATATATAGTGTATGGTCTGTTTTTTTGTACCGTCGGTCATTCGAATTGCAAATAAACATCTATTAAAATTAGAGTGAGAGAAAAAACATCGAGAACTATGCATACACAACTATGAAAAACCTTGCAGGAAAAAAACATACTTTTTATCTTATTCGAAGCGAATGTGCGCACGTGCGCGCGCGCAAAAGAGAGAGACATGTCTTGTGTCATGGTTATTGGGTTAAGAGCATGTGTTATTTTCTTTCCCGTTGCAATGCACGGGCTTTTTTTTAGCGAGTGTGTGAGTACAGAGGAAATACAAATATGATGCCATGTGAAACTAAAAGACGTGGGCCTATTAAGGTCTTGAGTCATGGTTATTGGGTTAAGAGCATGTGTTATTTTCTTTTCCGTTGCAACGCACGGGCTTTTTTGCTATTATGAATGAAACTCGAAACTGCAATCACAATGACACTCCTATATTCTCAAAAAATAAAAAACAATGATACTCGTATGCCACAAGGCGTTGATCAATCAGTTGATAGCTGTAGCAGATTAACAACTGATAAGGAGCTTTGGTTCGTTCCATTCTACACGAACGGCTCTCCCGAGTATCACTGGGCAAAGGTTTTAAACTCTGTTTTTGTCATTTCAGTAGCAAACCCTTCACTGGTAGAGCTCGATTAATTTCACATAAAAATGTCATTCTTTTTCTTCTAAATCACTGAAGTATTTTCATTCAGATATTTTTTCTGCTGTCGAAACAGCGGGAAAACTTTGGGTAAAAATCCATTTTCAGGTGACATGATGGGAAAAACATATTTTTGTGCACACGCTTGCGAAGCTGTATTAGCATAATATCTTACGTCTTACATCTTATCTTACGTCTTACATACTAATAAAGCACGGACTGTTTCTGGTCGTCCGTCATGCTATTTTACAAATAAACCCCTTAGTTTTCTGTAAATCAACCCGCAGTACACATTTAAGTTACAACCGAACCGTTTTTTCATTTTCTCAGAAAAGCCCCTGATGTCTTAGACAATCAACCCGCCATCCATATTTAAGTCAGCCAAAATGTTTTTTTAGTTTTAACAGAAAACCCCTTGACGTTTTGGTTAATCAATCTACAATTTATGTAAAATAAGATTATTCATATCTTTTAAACCGCAACTTAGATTTTAACATGTTATATATGAAATTTGATTAGAAAAATATGTAGAATCTAAATATAAGGTTATTTTTAGCTGTTAAATATTTTTAAAATATATTTTTGGTGCAAACTTAATATATAGTGTATGGTCTGTTTTTTTGTACCGTCGGTGATTCAAATTGCAAATAAACATCTATTAAAATTAGAGTGAGAGAAAAAACATCGAGAACTATGCATACACAACTATGAAAAACCTTGCAGGAAAAAAACATACTTTTTATCTTATTCGAAGCGAATGTGCCCACGTGCGCGCGCGCAAAAGAGAGAGACATGTCTTATGTCATGGTTATTGGGTTAAGAGCATGTGTTATTTTCTTTCCCGTTGCAATGCACGGGCTTTTTTTTAGCGAGTGTGTGAGTACAGAGGAAATACAAATGTGATCCCATGTGAAACTAAAAGACGTGGGCCTATTAAGGTCTTGAGTCATGGTTATTGGGTTAAGAGCATGTGTTATTTTCTTTCCCGTTGCAACGCACGGGCTTTTTTGCTATTATGAATGAAACTCGAAACTGCAATCACAATGACACTCCTATATTCTCAAAAAATAAAAAACAATGATACTCGTATGCCATAAGGCGTTGATTGTTGGTATAGAGAACTGAGCTCAACCATCGCCAAAAAGAAAAACCTGAGCTAATTTTCAGCTGCAGCAGGGCACTCTCGACGGTGCTTACATAACCTTATCTATCATTCAAAAAAAACTTATCTATGTTTGGCTTTTTGCCACAAAGGAAGGGGATGGATAAGATGGTTCTATCTAATTTTGGAAGGCCCTTCCTCACAAACAGTCTTTTCCTTTTTGAACTTCTCTTGCTCACAAATTCCACCGCTAAAACTCTGACGTACTCCTTTGCATTGAGGGAAATAACATTTCCGTATTTGCTATTTCCATGTATATACAGTGTATACTACGGACATGGAGTTCCTAAGCTGAGCTTGGATGAACAGTAAATCAGAAGAAAAAAATGAAAAAAAGTTTAAAAAAATCTGAAATTTTTCAGTGACAAACATTGACAAAAGTTTTCAATGCTTGCAAAATTTCATCGTGAAATGATATTTGTAGAAGCCGTGGCTAAAAAAACAAAATCGATGCTCCAAAAATATCATTTCCAAAAGCATTTTGGAGTGATGATTTTCTTTACCATGGCTTCTACATGTAGTTTCACGTTGAAATTTTGCAAGCGTTGAAAACTTTTGTTAATGTTTGTCACTTAAAAAATCAGATTTTTTTTTAATTTTTTTTTACTGTTTACCCGACCTCATTTAAACTCAGGACTAGAAGAGTACTTTCGGTATTACTATTCCCTCTGTTCTGGACTGAGGAAAATAACATTTCCATGAACAGAGGGTGTTGTACCTAAGAGTTACTCCATAATAACTCTTGACTGGTGATTATCATGAAGTACAAAAGTACGAGCAGCCGACTATTGACTGAGAAGTAACTAATGAGAATGTGTGTCTAGCACGGTGGTAAAGACCTCTTGGAGTGGGGCTATCAATCAAGGTTCTGACTATTGGTTCTCATAAAAAAACTCGCTGCATATACTTCCTTCGTTTCTTTTTAGTATGTATATAGGATTTGGTCAAAGTCAAACTTCGTAAAGTTTGTCCAAGTTTATAGAAAAGACTATCAACATTTACAATACTAAAGTTATATGGTATGAAAATTAATTTCATGATGCATTTAACAATATTAATTTTATATTGATATTTTTTTCTATAAACTTAGTCAAAGTTAACAAAGTTTGAATTTGATTAAATCTTATATGCAAACTAAAAAAACGAAGGGAGTACTTGTGTTGTGCATGTTCGCTCGTGTACTTGCGTTGCGCAAGCCATTTCTCTCCCCTTGGATCGAGTTTAGGAGTAACTAATCACTTCCATAATAGTATACTACTGTATTTGCTGGATCGATAGACTGCCCGTAGGGAGTTATCTTGTTAAAAGAATGCAGTGTTGAATTCATGTACTGTGCTGTACTGTACTGACCTGGTTGGTGAAGCCGACGCCGAAGCCGAGCAGCATGCGCCCAATGATGAGCATGGCGATGTTCATAGCCGCGCCGGTGATGGCGCCGCCGGCGAAGAAGAGCGCCCCGCCCACGAGCATGACGCGCTGCCGCCCTATGGCCTTGGTGACGCGGCTAGCCACGAGCGACGCCAGCAGGCCGGCGACGTACAGCGACGACGTGAAGGCCGTGAGCGCCTGGCTGTCGTAGAGGCAGTAGTCGTTGTGCTTCGCCACCGCCATCTTCTCCAGGACGTGCGGGAAGAACCGCCGCAGGAACGGCTCCATTTGCGACACGCCGCCTGAAGTCAACGATCAAACCCCATGCATCCGGCTCCCCTAGCTCAAGAAACATCGATCGAGGCCGAGGCCGAGGCTCACCTGAGATGCCGATGTCATAGCCGAAGATGAGGCCACCGGAGGCGGCCACGAAGCAGGTCATGAGCACCGACAGCGTCAGCCGTCCGCCG